GCAATATGGTTCGTGGGGTCACGAAGAGTCGGACACGACTTAACGACTAAACAACAACAATAAAAGTACCAAAAAAAACAACAGTAAAGATAAACAAACACCAAGACATATTTTTGAAAATCTAATATCAGAGTACATTTAAATGTATATGCAGTTTTTAAGCATGCAATTACTTATTTTATTCCATCCTATCAAATTATTTATGATTTTCAAAAGAACGCATAAAAATATTTTTTAAAGTGTAAAGCTTGCCTTGTTCTCAACTTGAAACATAGTAACAATCAAAATGTTCCCTAAAAGGTATCATGTTATCTGTGATTTCTTGAAATGAAACATTTCTATCCTTCTATTCATAAGAAACAATAGGAATTTTACAGTTTCTACTCATTTTTTTTTAAACAACAGTAGGTGACATCCTAGCCTATGCTGCTATCTATCACCAAACCTACAGAAATTTTGGCCAAGCTGATGATTTCTTACTGAGTTTTGAAACATGTAAGTACTAATGTTTCTGCCATAGGAACATTGTGCCACTATCACTCACTGAAAAATCAGTTTTTATAGATTAGAAACTTTCAGCAAAAAAGGCCTCTACTTTGTCAAATCCCAAAAGTGAAAGAGCAATTTATAGTTTTTTTTTTTTTTAAAGTACATGGGATACTCAGTCTTGGGATACTTAGTCAACATTTTGAAAAGATCTATATTTGTTAGCTTTAAGTGAATACCTCAAGGATCCTTGACTAGGGGATACGAAGAAGAAGAGGAGAAGGAGAAGGTGGAGGAGGGATATGTGGACATGATCTTTCAGAACAATGAGAGAGCAAAAGAGGTTTGCTGTGTACTTTCCATGGAAGTACATAAAAATAGTGCTGCAGAATATATCTCCACTGTTGCATGTAAGCAACCCCAAAGAAAACCCCAAATTGTTTTTGGAAAGCAAAAAATTCATTTGTGATATTCGTGTTTTGAGTATTGATAATAAGTTTGCTCCCTACAAATGTCTGCAAAGTTCATTTTGCAAAATGCACTAGTAATGAGCCAAGCATTATTCTTCATAAATATTATTAACCAGGAGAACTCATTACTGGTAGTACAGCTTTTCAGTACATTGTTTTTTTCTGAGGACGCCAAATTCACAAGACATCCCTTTCATGACATGTTCCCTGAGTTCATGTAAGGAACTAAAACTTTGCAAGCCATAGCATGATTCTATTCTGATAAGAACTGGGAAAAATAGTACTAGATTTTAGTTATTGCTAATGGGGTATGGAAAATATCTACTTTCCACATCTATATAGCTGTATCATCTATGTCTATATTGCAAAAAGCCACAATACCTCATCTGCATCCAATAGTGTTAAGGATTACAGTAGTAGTTGATGTACTAATAGTTGTAGTAGTCATTAATTAATTAAAAAAATATAGAGGTTAGAAGAAAGAAGGAGAAGGGAGGGAGGAATGGACATCACAGTGGTGTGCTTACGATTCCCATTATATTTTGTCTGTATCTCTGAAGGTACCTAAACCCTTTTGGTACCTGTGAGAAACATAAGTGGTTTCTACTTTTTTTAATACTTCCCAGTGAAATATAAATAGAAACAGTGCTCTTTCTGTCTCTGTCTCTCTCGTTCTGTTTTTGTATGTGTGAGAAAGAGAGAGTGACAAGATGGGGAGAGAGTAGGAGAAAGTATGCGCATACCTGTTTAACTTGTATAGGTAAATGTATTAGCTGTTAACATCCACACAGTACTCTATACATAGTGCTGGGTCAAGACACAGAATCACTAGATGTCCTTCTATGTCTTAGTTCAGTATGATGTTAGCAAATGTATATTCTATTGAAATGTAGCAGATATTTCCTCTGAAGCACTTTAACTGTATGTATTTCTGATTTTTGAATCTCACGCTAGTATACTGACTCAGGCCTACCAACAGGCCTTAGCCTTGGTGTTTGCTGTAAAGTAGATTAATGGAAATCCCCAGATCTTAACCAATGCCACCCTAGGCGTCAACATCTATAACATTTACTTTAATACAGGACACACCTACTGTATGCAGCCAGTGGGGAACTTCTGCTTTGTGTCTTTTCCCCCAAATGCTATATCATCGTATTGACTTTAATAGGAAAGAGGATCCGATAAAAAGAATCCATTAAATGATATTCCTTGCGATTACTTATTTCCCCTAACATCTGCAGTACAAAATTAAGATGTACTTTTATATGCAGATATTCAATTTCTATATGTCTTTCAAATGTACAACAGACGATTAGTAATAGGCTATTAGGCTCCCAAAACAGAACTGAGAAAGTCCTTGGGAGATACCTTGGGAGATTAATAATGTATCCATGCTTGTATAAAATAGAAAAGCCAGCAGACTTCCTGATTTGCTGAGGCAGAGGAAGAGGGAGATTTGCTCATCTTTGGATATATGCCGATTGACTGTTAGAATTTCTTATACATGAATGCTAAAAAATTAAACAACAAATAAACACAAAGTTGGTTTGCGAAGCTATTTTTTTTTAACACACATACACATATTTTTTTTTCTTCTGACTTCTGAGACCTTAAATTTCTCTGTTTTTGTTTTGTTTTTTTAATATCACACTGAAGCAAGTTGAAGGCAGTTAAAATATGATAAACAGGTTGATTCTGGTTGCATTTCAGAGATCCTAGAACTGAGTATGTAATTATCTTCCGTCTAGTAATCAAATCCTCTATTGGGACTTATATTTCTTTCTCAATCCTAAAGGGAATTCTTGAGTCATTTAGAAAGGAAATTAATTCTTGAGTCTTTGAAGGAAAACTGTTTTTCATGGAAAACTGTGTGTATGTGTGGTGTGTGTTTGCGTGTGTGTATGTATGTATGTATGTGTATGTGTCTATATATATACATACACAGATGCACATATTCTCGTTAGCCTAACTGCTGAAGTTGACTCTAATGTTGTTGCTTCAGATAAGCTGTGTGGTGACAGGGCACAAAGGCATTTAAATCATAATGTGAACATGATTGAACTGAGGGCCAAAAGAGGATTTTTAAGAAAGATGGCAGGATTTGCCATGTTATTACTTGTGTTCTTACCAAATGCATTTTGCAAAGTTTCTGTCAGTAAATGCTCTATCAGGGAACCTCTTCTTATTCGACATAAGTATTATCATCCAGGAAATATTCTCATTGTTGGACTGGTTTCTCATATTTACATGATTTCTAATGCAATCACTTTTGTGAAATATCCTTCCCAAGACTTGGACAATGACTTCATGTATGGATTTTTTTAAAAAAATTCTAACTTATACTTGAACAGATACTTGAACAGATAATATTCTCATGCTGGGATGGGCCCTGGG